TTTTTTTGAGACAGAGTCTTGCTCTGTCACCAGGCTGAAACGCAATCTGGTTCACTGCAAGCCCTGCCTCCCAGGTTCAAGAGATTCTCTTGCCTCAGTCTCCCGAGTAGCTGGGACTACAGGCATGTGCCACCACGCCTGGCTAATTTTTGTGTTTTTAGTAGAGACAGGGTTTCACCATGTTGGCCAGAATGGTCTCGATATCTTGACCTCATGATCTGCCCGTCTCGGCCTCCCAAAGTGCTGGGACTACAGGCGTGAGCCACCATACCCGGCCGACTTTTGCCTTCTTATATCCACAATACATGTTTTATGAAGAAGATTTTGCTAATAGCTCTATTTAGAAAGAATAAATATGAGCTATGGTTTAGGTTTTATGCCCTGGACTTACTCTTCCTATGATTTCTATTTTGAGATTAAATCCTCATGTAAATAGAAAAACACTTATTACTTATAAAAGCAAATTAGTTATTGGTTTGAGTTTTTGACACTGAAGCACACACTTTTGACTTTATCTTTGTCTGTCCCCATCAGTGCCGCTCACTGTCTCCCAGTATGACCTGGCCATGCCCCGCACTTACCCTCATCCTGCTCAACCATCTCCATGCACTGCCCAATTCCATCAGTGATTCAGGCTCCTCCCAAGGCTCCCTGAAATGGGTACAGGGACATTGAAGCATAAATCAGACACATTCCAGGCACAAAAGCAACCCATATTGTAAAGCGGGCAGCTGTGTTCCCACTTCCCTGAAGTTGGCAGTGATATCAGAGGACAGGAAGAAATACTTTCCCTTGTTAGGGGGTCTGTTCTTCATGTCTCAGGGCCTCTGATCTAGTGAACACAACTGTCCTGAATGTGAACAAACTTGCTAAATTCCTGGTTTCTTGCTAGGTGGCTAGAATAGATTTATAAGACTTCCTTACTTACCCATGTTTGCTGAAGTCTGAATTCTTACCAGTATGATTCCTTTTCTTGTAAGGGGTAGCTTAGGGAAGATTGGTCCCATTGCCATGCAAAGAGAGGTAAAGTGAATTTCTACTCGAAGCAACCTTGAATTTGAAACTAGGTCTTCCACTGTTTCAAAGCTGGCCTGTAGGTCCAACTGTGCACATATTTGGACATCATATCTTCATCAGAATCCTCAGGCATGTGTCCTCAAGGTCTTGTGTGTCTGCTGTACTCAGGATAAAGTTATTTCTCATTATGGTAAGTTATAATTAATTTGTCAGAATATAATTCATTATCAAGATAAAGTTATTTATCATCATGGCAAGGATAAAAAAAAATTTCCCCAGATGTGGCTGATCCTACATTTTAAGTGATTGTTAAATCGGAAGAAAATCTTCCAAAAATCTTTGGAAGAAAATTCATCACCTGTTGTCGTTTGTTGTGTCTCTAACGCAGTAACAACCTCACAGGACAACCTAATAAACAGCTCCCAGATTCTGTTCTTTGCTTTCTTGTATTACAAATATATTTTTCGGACCGGACATGGTGGTTTAGCTGTAATCTCAGCTACTCCAGAGGCTGAGGCGGGAGGATCACGGGAGCCCAGCAGTTCCAGACTACAGTGAGCCAGGAGTGCGTCATTGCAACGCAGCCTGGGCAACACAGTGAGGCCCTGTCTCTTAAAAAAAAAAATAAATTAATTAAAAAATAAATATAAATGTAATTTTTGGGCCAACACCTTTTTTATTTTTTTGAGACAGAGCCTTGCTCTGTTGCCCAGGCTGGGTGCAGTGGCCCCATCTTGGCTCACTGCAACCTCCTCCTCCCGGGTTCAAGCGATTCTCCTGCTTCAGCCTCCCAAGTAGCTGGAATAACAAGTGCACACCACTACACTCGGCTAATTTTTGTATTTTTAGTAGAGGCAGGGTTTCTCTGTGTTAGCCAGGCTGGTCTTGAACTCTTGACATTAAGCCATCCATCTGCCTCAGCCTCCCAAAGTGCTGGGATTACAGGCGCGAGCCACCATGCCGGGCCAAATTCCAGGCCAACACCTGTTGACACACATTGCCAGATACAGATTCCGGAATCCAACCCGGAACACCGATGGGCCCACAAAACACTCAGAGGCCCTGGCAGCTGACGATGTTAGCAAATTGGGTTCTCAGTGTCTGGGGTACAGCCCCGAGGGTCCCCTGCACAAGTACCAGTCTCCGCAGCTCCCCTCATCTCCACGCAGATTCTTCCCCACACACTTCCCCTTTCTTTGGGCCGCTGACGCCTCTTGGACCTCTGAGGTGACTGCCCGCCCACAGCTTCTCTCCTTCCGGGAGCTTCATTTCTTGATCCTCACCATTGTGGCTCAGCGGGAAGCCCAAGGTCCAGCACGCGAATCAGGAACCTGATGGTTTTTTGGGTTTGCAGGCAGCCGCCCAGAAAATAGATGAAAGTAACAGGTACCAATGTCAAAACTGCAGTGACTCGCCAGACATACTTCGTATTTGCCACTTTGCTAAGTGGCTTGTTGAGTACAACAACTGCAGGGGCCCGGGTTAGTCTCCTGAATGTCTTTTGGCACGACCTTGGTCAGTT